GAAACACACCACAGAACATGGGTGACGGGCAACTGAGCAGGGATACAAGGAAACATGCAGAAACTGAAGCAGTACAGTATGGTGGCTGGCATGTGGCTTCTGAAATCAGAGAGCCTGGGTTGCCTCCTGATTCTGCTATTTGCCAGAGGTAACTGATGTTTAACCCCTCTGCATGTCGGTTTCTTCCCTTTAAAATAGGGCCAATAGGGGCGTCCCTGACAGTCCAGTGGTTAAAACTCCGTGCTTCCACTGCAGGTGGAATGGGTTCCATCCTTGGTTGGAAAACTAAGATCCTGCATTTATGCCATGCAGCATAGCCAAAAAATAAAAATTCAATAAACTGTAACTTCAAATAAAATCTAGAACACTCTTTAAAAAAAATAAAATAGGGCCAATAAAGATGCCTCCCTTGTAGGCTTGCTGTTATGAGTTCAATCACTTAACCTGTATAAAGCACTTAGTGTTTGACATATGGGCTTCCCTGGTGGCTCAGTGGTAGAGACTCCGCCTGCCAAGCAAAGAGACTCAGGTTTGATCTCTGGGTTGGGAAGATCCCCTGGAGAAGGAAATACACTCCAGTATTCTTGCCTGGGAAATCCCATGGACAAAGGAGCCTGGTGGACTAAAGTCCACCGGGTCACAAAAGTGTCTGACACAACTTAGCGACTAAATGACAAAAGTGCTCAATTAATGCTAGCTAGCTTCATCGTTGTTGTCACTATCATAATAAAGGGAGGGGAGGGAAGGTAAGCTTGGAGTAGATGTTCTCAGAGCTGGGAGAGGAAACACTTTTCTGGGAGCTTGGATCAAAGACTTCCAGGGTTAGGGAATTCCTTGGAGGCTCACTGGTTAGGACTCAGCACCTTCACTGCCGGGACCTGGGTTCAATCTCTGGTTGGGGAACTAAGATCTGGTTAGCTGCATGGTACAGTTAAGAAAAAAAGAAAAAAGGCTTCCAGAGTTAGAAGCTCCCGGAAAGTGACTTAATCCACATCCAGCCCAAAGACAGAACACTCAGGGCTTGGTGGAACTGCCCGCTGGACTCCCGAGCTTTGTTGTGGAGGCTGACACCCAATGATACCAGAGGTCCTGTTTTGTGTGTATGTGTGTGTGGGGGGGAGGCGGTTCCAGCCTCAGCAGGACATCTGAGGCAGAGCATATGTGGCCCTCGGCTCCCAGCTGGACTCCGGTCTGCAGAGACCCAAGAGAGCCCTGGGGTGACCTCAGGGAACTTGCATGAGAGCCCTGAGGCTGGAAAAAGGAAGGAGCCAGCCTAGGACGGGGCAGAAACAGAAGCGGGTGTCTTCTCCCCATCCTGGCCCAGCCCAGGAGCAAGGGTCACCACAGACGTCAGACACTAGGGGTACAAATCATCTCTCTCCATAGCAGGTCCAAAAATAGTTTCCATCCTAGCTTGGGAATGCACTGCGCTTCCTTCGCTGATCAGCTTGCAGCCCCTCCTCTCCGGGCTGAGGAGTGGAGGGCTGCGCTCAGCTCCTGGACTGGAAGGGTGCGTCCCTCACTCCTGTCTCTCTCTCTCCCACTGGCAGCATCCCTCTCTCATGCAAGAATATACTCTAGCTTCTGCCTCCCTCATAGCCCCCAGCACCTCACCTCCCACACCCCTCTGTCTGCCCATCATCTCCCCCTCCTCTCTCTCCCACTCTTCCCAGGACGGGCAGCATGTAAACAGGAAGTGGTTAAGAGAGAAAAGAAAAAGAAGGGATGTGGGCTGGAAAACCTCTGCTCATCTGGGCGATTTCCCTGCCACAGAAGTCAGGCCTTGTCTGCGGTGTGGACACCTCCGGGTGACAGCCGGGGCACAGCCTCTAGAACTCTCCAACAGCTGTCTTGAAAAAAGCAGGACAATCAACTCAGAGCTTTGGGTGCCTCCAGTCCCCCGGTGTCTGTGTGACTGGGGGATCCCAAGCCACTGCTGAGCCAGAGATCGCGCACAGCCCTGCCCTCCTTAGCATCAGCCAGCATTCAGAGCAGCTCTCTGAGCCTGTGGACACAGCAGCAGAAGGGCATGGACACAGACATCCTGGCACTCATATAGTCTCCATGGTGAACCACGGCCAGATCCGGGCTGCCCTGCATGTGGCCAAACACACACACAGGCTTCTAAAGGGTTTGTGTCTGTGTCCGGGGCTGGGAAGGGGAAAACCCTCCTGAGAGGCACTCTTCCTGGCGCCTGGCCCACAAGCAGGTTAGGATTACATAACAGCCGAGTGTTTTCGTGTCGTGAGTCCGGTCCCCATGGGAAGGGCCCCGCCCACCGTCTCAGTGTTCCCCTCCACGCACTGGCTTTTGGTGCTGGAAAAAATAGAGAACACGGAAATGCACAGGACATCTCAGTTCCCGCCTGAGCCATCTCGGCCTGGCTCCGGACACCTCAGCGGAAGCTACATAAACCTCCAGGGGCAGGAGAGAAGTTGCTCTTGAGGGGTTGTGTCCTTCTCACCACGGGCTTCCCGAGCCTGTAAACACAGCCTGCTCTTTCCAAGGATGAGTTACTGACTGGAGAGCCTGCCAACTAAGGGCTGCTCCTCCCAAAGACAGCACAGCACTCCTTGCTCCACACCAACCCGGAAGCCAGCTCTACAGAGCGTCTCCTCAGACCCACTCGGCCCCACCCTGCCACTCGACTGGGAACCCCTCAGCTGGGGGCGCCTCTTCTGGCCGGAGCTACTGTGCAACCTCTGCCAGCCACCTGCTGGCTCTGGCAGCGGTCCAGCCTCTTCATCAATAAAAGAGGCGCAGTGGCTCATCTATCTCACAGGATTGGGGGAATTCTCTGTTAATGTGCACTACAGGAACTATATCATGTACTGCCTGTAAGAAATTTCTAATTTCACTGAGACATCAAGTCATTAAAATCTCTTAATAGAGAAATTTTGGGGGGTACTTCCTAGACATTGTTCTAAGCACTTAATTTGAATGTTCTCATTAACAATCCCAATCGCCCTATGTGCTGGTATAATTATCACCCTAAGTTTTTCAAGTATGGAAAATGAGGCCTAGAGAAACCATGTAATTTATCCAAAGTCACAAAGCAGGCAGGAGTCAGGGCTGGGATCGGAACCACATTTGTTTAACTCTGGAGCCCTAACGACTACATGTACTGCCTCTCCAGCCCAGTCGTGACTTAGTCATGACTAAGTCATAACGATTAAAATGACACACAGGATAAATGTCCAAGGTGATCCAGGGCATTTTATAGCTTAATAATGTGCAACAGACCCATCCCCAAGGCTGGCCCTTTTAATCACTGACCATTAAATCACTCTTGGCCTCTGTTTTCCTATGTGAACAAGGGCAGTAACTAGGTGGGCTCTCCCGTCCCTCCACCGACACTTGCTATTCCAGGTCAGAGCAGAGAAAGACTGGGACATGCTATAGGCTAAGCTACAGGTTTTGGAATAGTAGAGGACAGAAGGCATTTGGAGTGCAAAAAATAGGATGCATTCCTTTGTGAGGACGAATAGAGAGAGTGGACAGCCTGGAGGGGAAGTATTTGAAAAGGAGAGGTGGATGAGAATGGCTACCCAAGGGCTAGACATGGGTCTGTTTGTCTGCATGTGTGTTTGTAGGCGTGTGTGTTTGCAGGCAAGTGTTTATATAGACAGACAGAAGGGAAGGAAGGGAAAGAGGGAGGGAGCAAGGATGACTGTGGAGGAAGGAAGGCCTGAGGGCTAGATTGAGGAGCGTGAACTTATCCCGTAGACCCCAAATGACTGGACAATAAACTCCCATCCCGAGAGGGAGGCTGAGTGCCTCAGCTGGACACTGCAGCATTCTCCTGGTTGAGGATGCACACTGTGGTCTGCCCTCTCCCCAAGTCAGGTCCATGTGGCCTCCTCCATCACTTCCCTAAACTGTCAACTATGTCATGACATCCTTTTGCTTAAAACTCTCAACAGCTCCTCACCACCAAAAGCACAGCTTCCACATTCAAACTTTTGTCCCCAACATACAAGGCTGTTCAAGGCCTACCTCTCGAGTCTGTTCAGCTGCCCCTGTGCCCCCAAGCACCCCAAGTTCTGGCCATTCCAAACCACTCCAAGCTTCTGAAACATGCTGAACTTTAGCATATCTTTGTTTTGAAACAATTACTTTGGCTGCAGTATATATTTGTTTTTTTCTATATTTGTAGCATATATTTGTTTTTATTAAACAACTGCTTTGGTTGCAGTATGGGGAGTAGACGAACTAGGACAGTGGTAGCACAGATGCAGAGAAGATGAATTTCAAACAGAAGAGGTGAGTAGACGGACTTGGTAGTAGAAGGAATGCAGGAGTTGAGGAGATGGTAGGAAAAAGGGTGATTTCCAGGTTTCTGGCTTGTACAGGTGGATGAAAGGAGGGAGATAAGGAAAATCAGAAGAGAACCACGGCTGGGAGGAAGATCATGAAACCAGTTTGAAACGTCCTGAGACTGAGGTGCATTTAAGACATGCAAAGCTGAAGCGAGCTTGGGAATAGGTCTGAGCAACCGCGCAACATGAGGGTGACTGAGGGTTTCGGCAGGGCGGAATGCCAGAGAGACACTCCAAAGGAGCAGATGGCTAAGCCGAGCCGCAGAACCCAGCACTGAAAGGACAGTCAGCTGCTATTCAACATTCAGGTCAAGACGAGGGCTGAGAAGCTTAGACGTAGCAGGACACAGCCATTTGGGGCCTGAAGACCTGTTCTGGTGGAATCGTGGGGCTGAATCCAAACTGGACTGAGGTGAGGGCTGCCTGGGAGGTAATTCATGAAGTCGGTGGGTGCAGACAAATGGTCTGAGGAATACGGCTCTGAGTATGGAGGAGAGGAGCTCACAGTGAGGGGGGTTGGGGGTTAAGGGTTTCTCTTTCTCTATTCTTTTTTTTTTCCCTTAAAGAGTCCTGAGCATGTTCTTAAGTCAACTAGAATACTTAGTTAACAGTATAATATACCTCACTTATCACACAGATATATTTGTTTCTTCATATGACTCATTAGCCTGCAAACCCATACAAAATCAAAAATGGTGTTTTATTTTTGCTTGCCCAATGCCTAGCATGGTGTCAGATACAGAGTAGATGCTCAGAATATGTTGTTGGCTCTTGGAGGTTGTGAACACCATCAGGACAAGGCTGAAACCCTGGAGAAGATATCTGATACTGAAATTAGAAAAGGAAAAGGAGTATTATTGATGTTTAAATATGATTCTTGAGATATTTTAAATTCTTAACAAATGCCCAAGAAACACAGAGACTTCAGGATGACACGAGAAATAAAAATTAGAAACTCTCTTTCCTGTGGCAACACATGGCTGTGGTCAAGCAGAAGTCACAGGCTTTGCGCTCACTACTGTGCCTGCACATTGTTCAGATTTCTCCAGCAAAAGGCTCTTCAGAGATGTGAACAATGATGCATCCTCAGTCCTGGAATTGGCTGCTCCTCTGTCCTTGGCTTAGTGTCAATGAACCAGCCCTGACAAGCTCAGCTGATGGTGCTTTCCAATAGGTGAGGCCCTGATACGCCCCTCACCCTTTGCCCTCATCTGCTGGACTGCATGCTGTATTCTGCACATGAGCAGTAAAATGTGACCAGTACTAAGCTAACAAGATGCTGCTGCTTTAAGCTAAGTTTTCCCAAACCTCAAGATTACTTAAAGATGACAGCTCTAAATAGAAAGGGCTTCCCTGATAGCTCAGTTGGTAAAGAATCTGCCTGCGATGCAGGAGACCCTGGTTTGATTCCTGGGCCAGAAAGATCCTCTGGAGAAGGGATAGGCTACCTACTCCAGTATTCTTGGGCTTCCCTTGTGGCTCAGCTGGCAAAGAAGGTGCCCACAATGCGGGAGACCTGGGTTTGACCCCTGGGTTGGGAAGATCCCCTGGAGAAGAAAAAGGCTATCCACTGCAGTATTCTGGCCTGGAGAGTCTGTACAGTCCATGGGGTCGCAGAGAGTCAGATAGGACTGAACGACTGTCACTTTCACTGGCTAGAAAGTCAAGATTCTACTGTCAAAAGCAGCAGGGCCCTCTCAAGGGACATCGCTGCCTTCCTGGTCCCAGCATCTGACTTCTCCATGCTGACGCCCAGCTGCTAAGTCCCTCTTATCACTGCTGCACTTCACACGAGGGCACCAAGGAAAAGCCTTGGTGTCTGACCAACTCTATCAATTACAGGGAGATTAAGGCCATGGAGAGAAGGCGGAAAATCCCGAGTTCCTTTATGAACTCACCTTTCCAGTTTCAAAGAAGTCTGTAATCAGCTGAATGCAATGAACCAGAGTCCTCACAGGCCCCCAAGAATGCTGACTCAGAAAGAAAAACTGAAGGCCTGTGGCCAAAAGAAACAGAGGTGCCCCAGATCAACTTCTGGAGTTTGGCTTAACCTGCCTGATCTGCCTGGCAGGCACTTGTGGGGAAATGCCAACTGCATCTGGGGAGACGTGAATTCTCTCCCCTTTCCTGTGGTCACTGTGACAGGATGACAGGGTGACTATTTTCAACCTGGAAAGCTGTCGAGCTGTTGTGGCTGGTGAACAGGTGCCATATTCCATCCTCAGCTGGCCACTGTTCAGAGCCTGGAGCAGCACTCTCAATGGACAGAGTCGGTGTGGAATGTGACATGAGTGGCCCATGCTGAAGCCTGGCTGCCAGAAGCCCAGCCAAGCCACGAGATGGCAGGAAGCAGCTGCCCAGAAAAAGAATCCCCTGAGGGTGAGGGTAGGTGGGCTTTTCTTAGGTCAAGGCTCTGGGCCAACATGCCAATCTTCTCAGCCACAGTCTCCCCACAGGGCTGATCAGTAACAGCTACCTCCAACTCCCGGTAGAGGAAAACAACCAAGTGAGATCATTCACATCAAGAGCATTTTATAAATTAGAATAGGCTCACAAAGGTTCATTTAAGGAAAAGTGGGTCCAGTCTAATCAATAACAATAGCCAGACACTCACTGACTACTAAGGCACTCTGTGCCTTTCATCAAGTAACAGTCATAAAAAGACGGGCACCTCGGCTGGTCTCTTGGTCCACGTGTGCCCTTCAGCCTGGTCTGTTCTCTCCTTATGTAACCCAGAGAAAACTCACTTAGCAAAACAGAGACTAAATGTTTCCTAAAATTTTGACCAAAATAAAGTGCACTTATTAGGGAAGACTTGGAAAATTGTGGGCTACATGCTTGAGTGGTGGCAGGAAGGGCTGAACTGAGATTTGGGAAGGGTCTCAAGCTAATCAAAATGAGCAAAATTTAGCAGAAGCAAGGTTAACTATTTACTTGCAAGGTTCTCCAAGTCTGAATCTATAACCAAGAGTCATAAAGTGATTTAGTCCAGGTTCTGGGCCTCAGTTTCCCACAATGCAAATGGTCAGTGCAGGTAATAGGCAGCTGACCCACTGTGTGTGTGTGTGTGTGTGTGTGTGTCTGGTGGTGGCAGGAAACGCAGGAGGTGCAAATAATCCTGCTATTTTATGCTTGCTTATAAAGCAAGAGAGTACAAACTAGCCTCAGTGTGTTCCCAAGGAAAAATACCCCAAGACACTATAAAGTGTGTTAAAGTAGATTCTCCTTGCATTGTTAACACTGTTTGCCTAAAGGCCAATACTGCAATGTCAAACAACATAAAATAGCAACCTGAGAAGTACATTCCTTTAGCTTAAGGATGATGGGTCACCTGATCAAGACTTTCGGGCTGGGGTTTGTGGATTGGGGTGACAGGAGGTCCCATCCCCTGGGTCAGAGGGCAATAGACAAGGGCTCAGGAAGATGTCCGGAAGACAACAAGTTCGAGGGGCCTTCCAGGGATAGATCTTCCTCCTGCCCTATGTCCTCTGACTCTTGTTAGTAGAAAACTTTAGCCTCCTCTGAGGCCTTCCCCAAGTTCCAAAGAGGAAATTTAATCAGAGAAGTGAGAAAATGCAGAAACAAAGAAATGCAGACAAGAAAAACAAAATAATAGCTTAGCCATAAAACCAAGTCAAGGACCCTTAGCTCCTCCTCAAGGGCTACTGACATCCTGATGCATATCCCTGAGTTGTTTTGCAGAAACTAAAGCCCCCACCAAGTAGAGAAAGTTGAATGCATGATGATGGTAGACCCCAGACCAGTTGAAATTCCAAAAAAAAAAAAATCATGCTACTACCTCACCATAAGCTAATCAGAAGAATGTCCACAAGCTGATCAGGCCCCCTGCAATCATCACCCCTAACGTGGCCTTTAAAAACTCCTCTCTGAAGGTCCTTGGGGAGTTAGGGTCTTTCCAGCATGAGCTGCCTATTCTCCTTGCTTGGCACCTGCAATAAACACTGTGCCTTCCTTCACCACAACACAGTGTCAGTCGAATGGCTTTGATGCAAGTCAGGCTCACAGACCCCAGTACCTTTCACTAACAAAACAAAAAATTTCAGGAGGTTGAACTCACTTAGAGCAACTTCCAGACAGCAGGGAGAGTTTGGATCTGGGTGGAGTTCTTAGGTCAGTGTTTGACAGTCAAGAATGCTTACCCCAAAGGAAAACAGGGCTCCATCCAATCCTGCTGCACCCCACCCAAAGCACTGAGCAGCAGAGACCTACGAGCAGTTATGTAGCAGTTTCCAAAATCAAGACCAAACTCAACAGTAACAGCTCGACACTGAAGAAAGGGAACCAAAGTAGCTCTAAGAATAACCATTTCAATCACCAGAGGTCTCTCGTTGTTTTCAACTAAGAATGGAAAATTTCCTAATGTGTTATTCTGTAATATCAAAAAGTCAACGCCACCCAATTCTATACATGACTAAGATTTTATCTTTGGCATGTTCATGGTTTTCTTAGGCTTTTCCTTTGTTTTTAAAGTTTCATTATTTCCTTCACAAGCCAAGTGCCATAACCTTGGATCAGGCCTGAAGTTCAAAAGCATGTGCAGAATCTGCATCACAACAGGCTCTCCTATCTGCACACTTTCCTTTCTAAGTAGAGAGACAAGGGTAGAAAGGTGAGGTCCAATGTTCAGATTACTCCAGTTTTCACAGTCACTGGTAAATTGCTGCTTAAGATATTTCTGGGATCTGAGCAGTGAGAAGGGCAGTAAGAAAACTCAATTCCCAGAGTTGGAACAAGAGCCCAGAGCATGGACCAAGGCAGGTTCTCCAAACGGCTTGCCAACATGCTTAACTTTCAACATCTAGCACAAGTCTGGATGGTGAAGGTAGAAGTTTAAGTGGTTCATATCCTCATTCCTCTAACCCAGAAAATTTCTGAGGGGTGGAAAATTCTAGTGACAACAAACATTTAAAAATTAATTCAATTCTGTGAGCAATTCCAACTCTGTACCCCTGGCACCCGGTACAAAACGTGGCACGTGAGGAATGCTCAGCGAACTCTTCAGTGGATAAATGCAGCACTCTACCTAAAACGAAACAACCTCAGTGAGAGCTCACCATCTCAGTGTCTGCAGCTGCACTAAGATCAGATACTTGTTACACGACAGTTTTTCAAAGAGCTTTCTCCAGCCTCAGGTTGCAAGACACTGGATGACTCGAGAGCTGAGCAGTCCAGCTCATCTGCTTCACCTGGCCAGTCTGAAAGGTATATCATTTGCTTATATGACTGACTAAGCCCTACATTTTGGTACCTTGTTGTTTTTTTCCAATGAACTTGAGCAACATCTGGATGGAATTTTCACACTCATGTATAGTGCCTCCTTGTATTTGCAAAAAGCATCCAGGTAACCATCAGGAAACTGGATAAAGGCTAATACACATGAAAAGATGTGAAGAAGTTTCTAGGCTCTCCCACCTGAGGTACGCAGTGGTAGTAATCCCACCAAGAGCCCCTTTCTTCTTGAGAAATTTAATACATCAAATCTGGGTTCATTCAAAAGGTACTTTTTGAGGCCTCTGCCATGGATCCACATTCCAGAAGATCCTATGAGTCATTTATGGAATGTGAAATTGCAGTGCAGTGACAGAAGGTAGAGCTAGGACCACAACTCTAGAAATGGCCACTAGGATACTTACTCTGAGTGTGAAAATTATATTTCTAAAGAAAATAGTATAAACAGAGGGAGAAGCACTTTTATAAACATATCCGGATAACTGTTGCCATGGGAGGTGTTTCATTTGGCAAGAATCAGTAAGTCTAGAAGTAGGCCATAATGTCAGAGGTGCTTTTAACAGGAGAGGTTTAACACAACCTTGTGAAACCTTCTGGAAGCCATCAGCCCAGACCAGGAATCTCTGTTTGGATGCTGGCTCTGGCCACTCAGAATGATGCCACTCTCAATTTTTTTACGTCTGGGAGAAAAATGCAGTTGTCCCTTGACCTCTAATTGCCTTAATTGGCCAAATAACCTATTTGATGAAGTAAAATATGAAGTAAAATACTTAGATATACTTCTAGGATCTCACAATCACAAGACCAAAAGCATTCTGTTCAAAATGCCATGTTCTATTTGATATAAATTTTCTCAATATATGAAAGCCAAGAAGTAAACTTTAAGTAAATTATTCCACATATCCCAGTGAAGGCTTCCCTGGTGACTCAGACAGTTAAGAATCCACCTACAACGCAGGAGACCTAGGTTCTATCCCTGGGTTGGGAAGATCCCCTGGAGGAGGGCATGGCAACCCACTCCGGTATTCTTGCCTGCAGAATCCCATGGACAGAGGAGCCTGGCGGGCTACAGTCCATGGGGTCTCAGAGAGTCAGACATTACTGAGCGACTAAGCAGTGCAGACATTTTAAGAACAGAGATTGTTGAAAGCACCAGGGTTGGGATGATTTCAACAGCTTACCATAGCACAGTAACTCAAATCGCAGGAAATGCACTGTTTGGGTACAGAAACCAGCAAAGAATAACAAAGTTTGCACAATAACCTTTAATTACATTGAAAACAACTAAATAGACCATGCTCACGTGTTCTGTTAACAGAGGGATTCTGAAGGGTCTACACTTAAAGAGACTCAAAGGAACAGGAACCCTCATGATGGCCCTGTGGCTCTCTCTGTACTCACAGGAATGGCCCGTGGACAGAACCACTCTGAGTCATTTTGCCTCTAGAAACCAGAGGGAGAAACAGCAGCCCTGGATCCACACACATTCCCATGACAGTGTGTCACAAAAGTAATAACCAAGATGTTCAGTTGCTTCAAGACCTCAGTTGGGTTTCCTTCACTACTAACTTTTGTGACGTATAACATATCTCAAACCTGTAACCTCTTGCCTGACCCTCGGTCCTTTGTCTTGGTCGGGGCTAAGGACCAGAAGCCTCTTACAGATGGAAAGACCAGGGAGAGGTGGAAGAACTTCTCCAGGATCCCCCGCTGGCTCTGGCCTGGCGCTGCCTCGGGCCCTGTCTGAAAGTGGACCACAACCTCACGGCCCCCGCAGGCCTGGCTGCAGGGAGAAGGGCTGAGAGAATGCTGAAGTCAGCTGCGTGTGAGTCTCTGAGTCAGCATCTTCAAGACCAGAACGGTTGTTGAGAAATAAGACTTCTCCCCCACAAAACCCCAAACGTAACAGCGATCTGAGAGCTTGAAACCAGAGGACTCAATTTCAGAGCGGGAGCCCCAAGCTGATCTTGGGAACAAGGAACTGGGGGTGGACCCCTCACCCACCCGCTGCTGCCTCCTGAACAAGCTGGAGTGCTTGTCAGACAAGCAGCAAGGAGCTGGGCGCTACATGGACAGGCAGATTGGGTTGCACGCATGCAGATGGGTCCTGCCTGGAGCTGGGCATCCTTCCTGGATGACCCCACATCACCCACACCTCCTGACCTCACAAACTACTGTCTCCAGGAAGACTTGGATAGCTTCAACTAGCTGTTGCTTTCAAAGTAAGGGGTGGCGGTTTCGTCGCTAAGTCAGGTCCAACTCTTGCAACCCCACAGACGGTAGCCCTCTAGGTTCCTTGGCCTGTGAGATTTCCCAGGCAAGAATACTGGACTGGGTTGCCATTTCCCTCTCCAGGGGATCTTCCCGACCCAGGGATTGAACCCACGTCTCCTACATTGCAAGGGGATTCTTTACCATCTGAGTCAGAATGTGAAGGGGTAGAGGAGGCTATTGGGGATGCAGCGGAAAGACAGCCAAATGTTCTAATCATTGATGTGTTTAAGTAATTCCACTTCAGGTGCTTCTTAGGATATAATAAGGAAAAAAAACCAAGATACAAAATTGCATACACACCCACATTTAGAAAAAAATTTAGATGGGAGACCTCTTAAAGTAAGAATGTTGAAATAATGAACTACTTCTTTCTTTCCCTTCAGAATATTCTAGACCTAAGAATAATCCTCCAGCTAGCTGGAGTCATTCTCTTGACTGAGGACACAGAGGGTAAAAGAAGTTGCTTGTCTGCTTCACCAGATGGTTCAAATTAATCCTGGTCACCAAGAAGGAGACAGACAGCTCAGACTGACCACACATCCATCGACTCCCCTGTATTTTTCAAATTTTCCAATGAGGGAACAGAAGACATCCAGCTCAGCCACCCAGACAAGTTAGTGACTCAACACACCACACAGGCGGGAGCCCCAAAGGCATCCCTAGTCTCCCATTTCCTCACTCAGGGACACGTGAGAATCTCTCACTGGCGCATTTTCGGCACTTGAGGGGAAAGGACAGCATTCCATGATAATACTTGCTAATTTGTTTAAAAAAAAAAAAAACCTGCTGAAAGCCAATCACAGACACAGTCAGGTGTCTTTGAGTGTTTATGGTGGCGGTCTGTCCATCCTGCCACACGGGACTTGTGGGGAAGGTGGCCCCGTATGCACACTGGGAACGGCTGCAGCTCCCAGGAGTGTGTGGCACCGATTCTTAGAGGAGCTGGTGGTCAGCAAGGCAATGTGCTAGGTGCTAAGACACATTCTCTTACTGCTCACTAAAGTTCTGTGCCCAAAGGGACACAAGCAGCCCATGGTGGTGCTGGATTCAGGCCCAGGCCTGCCTGATCCTAACCACTTTTCTGCTGATCCAGTGGAACCATCAAACCCGTCAGGAAGAGCGGATCCCTGTTGCCTGTTCAGCATATCAAATCCAGACCCTATCAGCTAGCTGACTCTTCTGTGACACCATACGTCCTGCACTTTCTAGAACATTTCCAGTTTTGAGCATGCCACACCCATGTATCTGTCTCACAGTGTGGTCTGCCCCTGGAGACCTCACTGGCTTATCCTCCCCTGTGCTACCATCTGCACTTGTTTCTCCTGTGGACAGAAGGGGGGTTACGCCTCTCACAGGGACAGATCATTTCTACAATCTGATTTGCTTCACATGTTTGTGCTTCATCTTCCCTGTCACACTCCATGTTCCTTCTAAATCAACACTTCACCACCAGAAGACCATTCACAAAGGGATCCCAGAAGCAACAGAACATATAAAAGAATAAGAGGTAGTAGAAGAAACTACAATCTTGCCCAAAACTGTTCTGCTTACTTGATCTGCAGGTGGCATGGTGTTGGACAGACTGACCTTTAAGACACATGCTATAAGACACTGTGTTTCACCAGAGTGCCACTCCCAGAACGGGAATTGCCAAACCTCCATTTAATTGTAATCCATGTAAAGTCCTATGCTTAGATTCAAAAACTTAAGTGTTCAGATGTGACACAACAGAAACTTGGCTTTGTTACAGTTCGTTCAAAATACTAATCTTCAACTTTTGGTAGTCAACTTAAAATCAAGTTCAACAGTACAACGTGATTGTTTAATAGAAAACAAAAGGTGAGTGTTGTTAGGAGCTGTTTATGAAAGTGGAAAGTTTAGGTCACAGGAAGCAAATGTTAGTTGAACCTGGGGCTGAGCCTGTTACCCAGATGACAAATAACCTGCCTGATTCTGAGAAGCATGTTTAACAAAATGACAGAGCCTCAAAGCAGGAAGACCTGGTATCTAGTTTGGGTTAAGAAAAGAGAACAAAAAATTTTAATATTTTGAAAATTAAAAAAAGAAAAGAGAACAGAGAAATGCAAAGAAGCTCTCAGAGGTTTAGCAAGTTGCCATATGGAAAAGGGAGCCTAAAATGTGACCCACTGGTGGAAGTGACTGAGAAATAATTTTCTGTTTGATATAAAAGGAAACTCAAATCATACCTGTGGGAGGCAGAAGGATGTCCCTCAAAGATATGCAGAGCCTAATCCCTGGAACTTGTATCAGTGTTACTTTACAGGGTAGAAGGGCCCCTGCAGATGTGATTAAGTCAAGGATCCTGAGGTGGAAAGACTGGTCTAGACTATCCGGTGGGTCCAATGCAACCTCAGGGCTCCTCATAAGGGGGAGGCTAAGAGTATCAGACCCAAACAGAGGTCAGAGAGAGATGTGAGGATGTTACACTGCTGGCTTTGAAAACAGAGGAAGGTGCTACAAGCCAAGGAATGCAGATGGTTCTGGAAGTTGGAGACGGCAAGGGAACAGATTCTCCCTTAGAACTTGGAGAAGGAATGCAGCCCTGACGACACCTGATTTTAGCCAAATAACACCCACTTCAGACATCCAGAACCAGAATGGAATAAACGTGGGTTGTTTTAAGCCACTAAGTCTATGGAAATTTGTTAGAGCAGCCATAGGAGATGATAAGTGAAAGTTGCTCAGTCATGTCTGACTCTTTGCGACCTCATGGACTGTATAGTTCATGGAATTCTCCAGGCCAGAACACTGGAGTGAGCAGCTGTTCCCTTCTCCAGGGGATCTCCCCAACCCAGGGATTGAACCCAGCTCTCCCATATTGCAGGCGGATTCTTTACCAGCTGAGCCACCAGGGAAGCCCATAGGTGATGAAGGGATGTCTAATAAGGGAATAACCATGGCGATCAAGAAGAGGCTGATCATCTACAAGTCAGGAATGCTGCGCGGGTAAGTCATGAAGGATGCACAGCAGACCCCGCCAACCCTGAGAGTCCCTGAGACAACGCAGCAGCGCTGTCTCTTGTTTTTGTATTCGCCATGCTGGTGCCACCCCCAAGGGTGGCCCTCGCTTGCTCCCAGCAGGACCATGGCGATCAGTAAAAGGCCTGCTTTGGCTCAGAGTAACAGCGCTTGTGGAGGCACCTACCTGAGCAGAGGACTCCTTTGTTCCTGGCGCAGGAGAAGTTATCACACTCGCAGAAGGGCCCGTAGATCTTGCCAAACTCGCTCTCGAAGCAGGAGCACTGGTTGCAGCTGCACTGGCCGCGCCCGCTGCACAGCGGCTTGCCCTCCGCCTCCCGGCACAGGTTCTGGTACCCGCTCTGGCTCTCTCCTTCCTGGCACTCACACCTGGTACCCAGGAAGCCGGGGTTGCACTCACACAGGCCGCAGACGTAAGTCCCGTTGCTGCTGCACCTGGGGCTGTCGGGTTCCAGCCCGGCGCTGCAGCCGCACCTGCAGTTGTAGGTGACCCCCACCTCCAGGCTGTCCCGGAAGCCCACAGGCCGCAGGGTGAACATGTGCTGCGCGTGTTTGCCAGGGCAGCTCCGGGCCTCCACCGACACCTCAAAGGACGCCTGGGCAGAAGAAAGAGAGGGGATATTGCGGCCGTGGCGCGACTGGGCCTCCTGCTCCCTGTACTGGCCTGACCATTACCCAGGGTCCCGAGCACAGTTCCTCCAAGGCCCTCAGTGCAGGGCTGGGACCAAATCTGGCCCCTGCCCACAGGCAGGGAGGCCACTCCAGCCACCCGAGGAGGATGAGGCCCCAAGTCAGCAAGCCCTTCCCTTAACCCAGGAAGGGCGTGTTTAGGCACCAGCGTCTGACAGGCATCGTGCTTGGTCCGTTAATGTTCATTATCTCTGAATCCTCACACCCTGGAGGAAAAACGCTTCCACAGGAAGGTAGAAAGATTCACTCAAGGTTACATGGTTCTCTTTCTGCCCTTTCTTTTCACTTCTATCCTATCCTCTCCCCATCTCCATTTTGGAAGTCAACAAAACATTCAACAATTTACCAGGCACCTTGTCTGTGCCACGCTAGACAGGCTCCCTGAGCATGTGGGGTACTGGGGTCAAGCAGCCCTGGCGGCTGCCTCCTCTTCTGCAGAGGTGTCTCCTCACCTGCTGGAGAAGGGAGAGAGGACCCCTGGGTCCCTCCCAGCTTATCTGTCTCCTCACAGACACACCTGAGCCTCCCTTCGTCCCGGTTGCTCTCTGCGTGGTGCCCACAACCATGTCTTTCACAACCAGCCCACGGCCCTGAGGTTGTATTTAAGTGAAAGAAAAAGTGAGAAGGTTAGTTGCTCAGTCATGTCCAACTCTTTGTGACCCCATGGACTGTAGCCCACCATGCTCCTCTGTCCACAGGGATTCTCCAGGCAAGAATACTGGAGTGGGTTGCCATTCCCTTCTCCAGGGAATCTTTCCGACCCAGGGATCAAAACCAGGTCTCCTGCATTGCAGGCAGATTCTTTACCATCTGAGTCACCAGGGATACATGTGGACAGACTTTTTCTTATTAAACAAAGCATGTTGCCAACTCCTGAGCTGCTTATGAGTTGCCATGGAAACAGGAAGGTGGACCTCGATGGCAGATCACAATGGAGGAAAGGTGCCTGTGAGCTGCCCACACAGCTGGGAAGTGAGGAAAGGAAAGACACTGCTCACTGTGATTCTCCCAGAAAGTCAAGCATGACACCACTTCCCCTCCCACACCGTGTGGTGAGAATCATCTAGCACTGCCCTCCATACATGGAGCTGTAGAAATCTCCAGACAGGTAGCTGGCACACCTGACCAGACAATACCCTGAGTCCTTCTCCCCTAAACGGACAGAGCCCTGGGCCCACTCCAGAAACTGACCCACCGCTTGGCCCAGATGTCTTTCTTTTTCAAAAGGCTCCTCAGAACATTCTGGAAGCTCAAAACAAGTTAGGAACCACTTTTAGCTACTGTTAGTGTTAATTCTACTATCTGGGTTGGAACAGAACTGATTTCTTTAAAAAGTCATCAATAACCTGCTTTACTGGTTACGCTTTAGATATATTTTTGGAAAACTCTCAAAATATTTTTTTCTAAACGTTGTATGGATCCCTTTTACTTTGGGATCATTACTAATTCTAAAAGGCCTCCCCTCAGATTTTGTGACACCCAGGGACCCCTCATGTGGGAGTGGGAGTCTGTGAGACTGAGCAGGAGACCCAGCTCCCCAGATCCTGGAGAGGGTCCTGCTGGCAACTAGACAGCAGGGGTCAGCACTCGGGAAGGGATGTCATGCCGTCAGATAGGTGAGTTGAGGACAATGACCTCGAGCCAGGGTCAGGAAGCTGGGAGGACCAAGCCAGCTGCAGATAGTTGGGACTGGCCCACCCCCAATTCCACGTGGGCAGCGGGAGAGGGCAAAGGGAAAGACTGACGAAAGCAAATTCAAGACTAAGCTCCAAGGCACTCAGGTACAGTGGGGGCTCTTGAGATAAGGAAGTAAGATGGGGACCCACCCAGGACACCGCAATCTGCCTCACAGTACCAGCTGCTGAACACTACATGCACGAGGCACCGTGCTTGGTATTTCATGAGCATCTCATCTACACACCCCAGGAGGAGGCATCCTCATTTACCAGAGAGAAAGCAGGGTTGGTGGGTGGGCTAAGGGGCTTAGTGCTGGTCACACAGCTGGGGAGGGGTGGTGCTGGACCTTGGCACATCACCTCCGAGAAGGAGAGAATGAGGCAGACGTCCAGTGTCCAGAGCTGTGTACAGAGGGAGAGGCCCAGCTCACATAGGGACCATAGGTGGGGACCCCCAAAGTTGTGACCAGAGGTTTCTTTAAACCTTCCAGCCTTGGGCTGGGGGTAAGCTGAGTCTGCAGATGGAAGGACAGGGAGGCTATACCTGACCAAGGTGCCAAGGGCATCAAGAATGTGGAGGTGAACATCTCTCTCTCTGAGGCTCAGAGAGAAGCCTAGTGCTTCCCAGGGGAACAACTTTGCTGGACTTGGTAAATGGAAAGCTCTGCTCCCTGCAAAGGCAGCTGGGGGTCAGAAATGAAAAAAACTTACAAAGAAATAGCCTGGACCAAGAGTCCAAGGCATTTACTTATTGCAAGACTGTGGGTAGTGTCCATCTGTGAGCATAACCTTCCCCCAGGAAAACTTGCCTGCATCATGGAATTAAGTAGCAAGAGAAGGGATTAAATCTCCTGGGACTTACCAGGAGGAAGTGGAAAGGCGAAGGCCCTCAATGAGTGCTGGCAGCCAACCACCCAGGAACCAGAAATGCTCACCTGCTGTCTGCCCAGGCTGCCTAGCTGGAGGAACAGGAAAGCCTGGCTTCTCAGCAGGTCTTGCTGGCCTTCCTCAGCCAAGCTCTGGTCTAACCAAGGACCTCACCGTCGGGCCCCATGTGGCCTAATGTCTGACTGGCCACCTGATAACCAGAGAATGGCTCAGTTTCAGCCACCAAGCTTCAGGTCCTGCTGGGCACAGGAATGCTATAAAAAGCACGCTGGGAACAGAGAGTTAATCTGTTCTGCCACCCCTCCCCTCAGAGTCCATTTCCCTGAGGGATCAGGAAAGAATCCAGAGAGCCTGTCAGGTGGCTGGAATGAGGCTTCTCTTCTCCGACCACTGTGGACTGACAGTGAAGGCCCCCCAGTTGTGGAGACTTTCCGTTTCCCACTCTGAGGTTCCAGAGGATGGTTGCGGGCACAGCAGCCCTTCCCCTACCCAGCCTTGTTATCGGAACCTCATTGAGATGCTCCTGGTTCCCCCCTTGTGGCTGTTGGCCTAATTCATCCTTTCCCAAGGGCTGCCCAACCCCCACCCAGACCCACCAAATCCAGGCTGTGCAGATGCCAAGGCTACTAGCAGCTCACTGAGACAATGGGCACCGACATGAGGTGGAGAGCCCCAGGGGAGGGGACAGTAGAGGGGATGCCGTGGGAAGCCTATGACGGGGCTCACAGGGGCCTTTGTACCAGGCCTTAGTGCTGGCCGCACAGCAGGCCACTTGCATAATGATGTGTCAAAGCCACTTCATGAGAAAACCGACTTCCAGTAGCCAGGCCCACTCAGTCAGCCTTGGTTGGTATTGGGAGGAAAAAATGGAAATCACTGGATTTGGGACTTCAAGATTTCATTTAAGGATTATTTCTCTGAGGACAACCTTTGTCCCTCACCCCCTACACCTCCTAGAGGAAATCAACCCTGACTATTCATTGGAAAGACTGATGCTGAAGCTCCAATACTTTGGCCACCTGATACGAAGAGCTGACTCATTGGGAAAGACCCTGATGCTGGGAAAGATTGAGGGCAGGAGGAGAAGGCAGTGACAGAGGATGAGATGGTTGGACAGCACCATTGACTCATGTCCATAACTCAATGGACATGAGTTTGAGCAAACTCCGGGAGACAGTGAAGGACAGGGAAGACTGGTGAGCTACAGTCCATGGGGTGGCAAAGAGTCGGACACAACTTAGCAACTGAATAACAACAACCCTACCACCTGCTTCTTTTCTGAACAGATCCCTTACCCAGAGAACACAGGACAGTCAGGGAACCACAGCCTCTGGTTGGAAGGAACCACGGAGCTGCTGCCTAACCACTCCACCTCTGCAGGAAATTCTGGTTACAGAGGTGAGACCCAAACAGAAGCCACTCGAACCCAGCTGTCCCATGGCTCCCCTCAACCCATGGGCCATGTCCTTATCCACAGGCCAGGACCTGAGACGCACTTGATGTAGTAATAGCCCGTCTGCACTCCCTAATCCCTCTTCTCCAGTTGAGACTCAGCACCTTTCCGTTGTGCCCTGTACCCCTGCCTACCGCCTCACCATTTCCTGACTTGCCCACAATCCTCCCAATTTATGGTGCTAAGGAAGAGAAAACACCTATTGAATAACAGCCAGACACCATATTGGAACGTTCGTCCTACTAGTCGGCCCAATCCTGCCCCTGTCCCTGCCACCCTCCCCTCCATCCCCAGCCCACTCCCCTCAGCTGCTTCCCACCTGCAAAAGGGCAATACCCTCATGGACTCACCACTAATGGGGCCTCCCAAACCTTCTTCTATGTCTGGAAAACTCTGAGCTGAAATAGCGGCCCCTGTGATGAGGGGCCCTTCTTCCTTGGGGTTCCTTCAGCAAAAAGGGGGCTGAGGGGAGGCCTCCAGTTCCCCTGCCACACCAGCATGGTGGACCCCACACTCAGAATAACCCACGTTTAGGTTTAATGCTCTGCTATCTGAAGTTATTTCTGAACAAGGACCCCACCTTTCCATTTTGCCCTGGGTTCTGTCCTCCGCTGCCTCCAGGGCCCTCAAGGAGCTCACCTCTGGTGGCCTGGCCAGCAGCACCCGGTCCAGTTATGATTGGTGAGTGGCCGCTGCTCTGTGCCAGACTGTCTCCATCCACAGAAAACAAAACCTCACAGCCTTGGTGGCAGAGCCAGGGGCCACGTGACTGTAGCCTCTTGGACAGAGAGAGGAAACAGGGAGCCAGTATGGGAGGCCTGCCTTTGGGTCACTGTCTCAACAGGGTCATGGCCTCTCGGAGCCCAAGGGAGGCTCCGGCTCACCTGCTGGGGTAGAAATGCTATGGAGAGCGTGGGAGAAGCACCCTTCCTTCTTCTGCTTCAAATGCTCCAGAAACCATCCAAACACATCTGAGACTGTTCACATTGGTGAAAAGAATACCACTTAGAATCCTGTCCTGTCTTCTGGACAATGTTCCTATCTTGCTGAGATATCCCAGCAAAAACAACATCTGTACACTACAGTGACCACACGAAAGTGGTGATGATAACACCTTTCGCTTCTCTGCAACATTTACTTTCAAAGTGCACAGGTATAAGGGGAAAAACACGGACCATGGCATCAGTGGTTGCAGTTCTGTCTCCTAGTTTGCATGCTCACCAGCAGTCAGACTTCCAACAAGATCCTCAGCGCCAACCCCCTAGGAGCCTCAGTCTTTCTCACATAAAATGGGGAAGTAATGTCTACCTGACACAGGTGCTGCAAGCAGCAGAGACCTGGCAGCAAAGCCCTAGCACAGCATGGAGTGCATTATAAATTCCCAGGAAACGGTAGCTTGCGTCACCCTGCCACGGTCCAGATGCTACGAGCAGTGAGGACTCAGTTAGGAGAGAGTTGTAACTCCACTGCCCATCTGTGGGTGACCTCACACCTCACGGTGCCTAGCAGGGGGTGTGCAGGGCACGTGGGGAGGCGCTCCCTGCTGGAGGCTGGCCTTTGAGTTTATACTCTGAGGCGAGCCCTCTGGACAGGTGTGCTGGAACACAGCGATGGGCAGCAAGTGCCAGGGGGAGGCGGTGGCGGGGAGCGTCAACACTGGTGTCAGAGCCAGAAGGTCTGAGCCTTGAACTTCTGCTCTGCTACCTACAGGCTGCTTACTTGGGCAATTGAGTAAACTCTCTGTGCTTCAGTTTATCTCATCTGTCAATGTGAATAACTACCTTCCTTACAGTGAACCCAGTAATGAACATGGAGCTAACTCTGTCCAGTTACTTTCCAGTCCTTTCCAAGACTAACTACATGGCTCCCTTGGATCCATCAGGAACTCAGTATTCTTATAATAAATTTCCCTTTCTTGCTTATGGCAGCATAAACTGGCTTCAGTTTTTTGCATCCACTATTTCAACTTTATAATTAACAAACTAGTTCTTTTGACCTTCCTGGTTTCTAGATACCTCATCATGACAGTTGCTTTTGCTTGCTTTTTTTTTTTTTGGAAAAAATACTGAACAAAGAACTCCAGATGCAGTCTGATCTACACAAAGAAAAGTGAAACCATTATCTCGAGGTTCCATTAATGCAGCCTCAGTTGGCATTGGTTTTTTTTTTTTTTTTTAAAGCAACACTACTTATTCACATGGAGCCTTTGAGAATTAGAATCTGCCAGATCTTTTTCTTAAAAGGTACTATCAAACCAAGTTCTATGTTATTAATATTCTGAATTAAATGCAAGATACTAATCCTAATGATTTCAACCCCACTTCATTTTGAAAAATGTTCTTAAATCTTGGTTTTCCTGCTTTATAAGTAATCTATTTTCTCCAGCTTTGTGACCTTCCCACCTTTGATAAGCTGTTCTCCCACTAGTTAATCTCAAGCCAGTAGTAAACACGAACAGATAGGAGACAGTGGGAACTTCAGTCAAGTCTTCCTCCAGCTGATGTCATCAACACTCTTAGAAAGCAGGTTTACTCAGCTATGCATCTGCCCAGCTATGCTATTGCCAACCTGTGTTACCTGTCTTTGTATTAGGATGTCATTAGAAATTGTCAAGAGACATCTTGAAACCGAGGCATCTGGTACGTGTTGTATATCCTCGCCGCCTCAGTTCCATGGTACCTATTTTTCCAAGTAAAGAGTTCTTTGTTTGGGTGTTTTTCATGCATCCTTCTTTAGCTTTCTTAACACACTGCACTAAACATCCCATCTACCACAGATCTATAGAATCCACTTACATGTATTTTTTCTGGTTAGTTCTGCCTCCTATATTTCATAATTGCCTCTTTAAACTCAGTGACTATAAGGCTTTTGTATTTAAAAACACCGTCTGGATTGACTATTCATTGCAACTGATCAAAACAACATAAATATATCACAAAATGACTAGTATTAAAAAATAAAATTTTATTGGATGTGCAACTTCAATAAGATGGGGTTTTCCCCACCCAAATAGTCCATGTATATTAAAAATATGACATTACTAAATAAGATAGGGATCAGCATTGATTCTACTCCTATTTTTAATTTGGATAGATTAAACTACTCTCTCCAAAATTTATTAACGTCAATAGGAAGATGGGAATAGGAGTCTGTCACAGTAACACCACCTTATTCTATAAGTATGTTCTGAGCTAAAATGCATAATGAATTATTAAAATTTTTTAATGATTATTTATCTAACAACTTGATTAGACCAATCTCCACCTCTCCTTTTTTTAAGAGCAAAAAGACACCTGGGGAAAAAACCTGAGTTAGAAAAAGATTTGTTATCTGGCCATTAGAGTCCTTCACTTTCTCAACTTTCATACCACATTCTGAACTGTCCCTATGCTGGGGTGAGACACCCCTGTAAGATTTGGAATGGATGAGATGTATGCCTGTGGGTTGTAAAGTGGGTGAAGAGCAGTTGGGAAGGTGAAGAAGGAACAGAATCAATTACAGGACATGAGGAAACTCCAAAAGACCACACTGCAGTGTAAGCAACTGTGTGACCACAACCATGTCTTTCTGAGCATGGGTGTTTCCCTGGAGTCCAGGGTATGTCTGCTAATCTCCACCGTGGCCATCATTAGCGCTCATGAAAGCACAGAATATAGTCATATATCTTTAAGATCCCTATAATTTTTCTGGGTCCAATCAGATTCATTACAGAAGAGAACTTACCCTCACTGCCTTCCCATTTTCTGAGCAATGAAAAGTGACAATAAAGCAAAGAATGCATCTCACAGTCTGTCTGGTGTTTCTGGTGGCAGAAATCTCTAGAAGTATGGCTGGCTCTCCATCACCACTCTGCCTGCCTATGAGCCAGTGTTTCACCTTTGTTCTCATCACCTGTATGTACATCCTCCTCTCTCCCTCAAGTCCTTAGCTTGGAACACATCTTCATATGCGATATTTCTTCCCCACTGTTTAATTATATCCACTTAAATCCAGATAAGGCAACCCATGCTCCCACCATTGTGACAAAGTTATCCATTTCATCTGATCAGATCAGAAGAGGTAAATGGTTTTATTCATATTTTACAAAAGGGGAAAGTGAAGACCAGACTATCCAAGGCACAGAGCAAGCTCCAAGAGACTAGGAATGAAGGCCGGGGCTTTTAGGTTTCCACTTACACTCCCCCACCCAATTTCATCCCTGTCAAACAAAGATAATAATAAAAAGTTAAAGGCACCAAAGGTACCATGTCAACTTGAGGAAGCCAATGTACTGAGGGTTGTGTACTGACTGGAGTTTTTAAAAGTCCACCTGCATCTTGAAGGCACAGCACAGAGAAGGCTGAGTTGGAAGACAGAACAAAAACTCCCAAAGGCCTCTAATAAGTCACAAAAGTTATCAGAGGCCAAAGCATGATGACCAATGTTAACAAGCCCAAGCACATGAGGAGGTGAGAACTTACCGTGTCCCCGATCTTCAGGCCCTCGCACTTCCTCTGACCAGGGTAGGATACACCATCCTGGCAGGTAGCAGTAAAGACGAGATTAAGATCCTCAGGCTGATCCCAGACCGACAGTTCCACTTTAGACCGGATGCTCTGAACAGAGAGAGAAGCCGGAACCACTCAGTCAAGGCTACAGCTGAGACGCTCTCCACACTGGTTCTCTGATGCCCACATGGCTTCCTCTGACTCTGGGGTCTCAAGCCAAGGCGAGAGCCAGTAGGTTAGGTTCACTGCTCCTCCCCCATCCCTTTCCTCCTCTCCACACCCACACACCATCTTACTAGGCTGGGCCTAAGGTCTCCCTCTGTGAGCTCAGAGAAGTAGCTAGTGGCCCATCTGCCTCATGATAACCTCATCTGCTTCCAAGGGTGATGAGCTGTCTCTGTTCATCTCTGCAGAGCATCTCTCATCTCCACTCTCAGCTTCAGACATGGAGCTCTTCATATCTTGCCATGTGCTCTCTAGACTATGGGCCTTGCACAGGCCTGGGGTAATGGTCCTTTGCTCAACTGCTCCTCTCTTTCCTCCCCTGACCAGCTCCTTATCATTCTTTCCCAACAGCTCAGCAGGCACTTTTCCCCGGAACCCACCCTCTACTGCTCACCATCACAGCCATCCCCCATCAGATGAGGTCCACATTCATGAGCTCTCAACTACTTTCTGAGAGAATAGCATCTTATGTGTGGATTATGTCCTCAAGACAAAAGATGAAACCAAAATCAAGTTAAAATTATCCATCAAAATAGAAAAGATCAAAGACTAAAAACACCAAATGTTTGAAAGGAGTTGGGGCAACTGGGGCTCTCAAACCCTGCTGGTGGGAGTGTGAACTGGTACAACCCTCAAGAAAAACATTAGCTGGTACGTACTAAGCTTAGGTCAACCTTAGACAAGCAATTCACATCAGAATCATATCCAACAGAGATGTGTACTGACCAGCAGACACATACAAGAATGTTCACAGCAATACTGTCTGAAACAGCTAGAAACTGGAACTAACCAAATTCTTATCAATAGAACAGAATTTTTTTCCAAATTACAGTGTGCTCATGTAGAATACCATACAGTACAACAATGAATGAAACATGACTACCTGTTGCCACACAGATGAATCTCATAAACATCACACAGTCCTAAAGAAATCAGATGTGCACAGCATACAAACTATGATTCTGCTTATTTATACTATCCCCTAGGGGATAGTAATAGAAGAGGACATAGGAGTTCTGGAGGCTATAATAGTAATATTCCATTTTGGCCTGGGTGGCTCAATACTCACGGTGTATTTAGTTTGTGAAAAGTCTACAGAATCTTCTGTGTATCTCCAAGTTTAAAAAATTGCCACTGAAAATCTCTGAGGAGGATATACTTTGGAGACAGAGGCCAAATGAAGTAACTGACTTGTAGTTAAGGTACACCTTACAAAGGGATTTTTTTATTCACTAAATACACTCAGAACAGCAGATTGCGCACACATTCCAAGAGACACATGGATCTCCCTCCCCAGATCAACTGACGGCCCTTCAGCCCCCCACCTCCCTTCTCAGGTGCGCTCTGGGCAACAGACTTTGGGCAGAGGAAGGCAGAAGTGCTTCTTCCTCTCCTAGGGCTGCTTATCTTTTTTTTTTTCCCTGCTGAGCATGTAGTGTTAAACTTGCATTAGTTAAATATGCAGTTTTCCCAACACATTAACAGCTTATTGAAAACAATCTCTGCAAAAAATAAGTCTCTCCCTTTGCCACAAATTGTCTAAGTGCTTCTACAACTCTAAAAATATTCTCTCTTAAATCCACTTCCTCTTCTCTTGGTAGTGCCAGCCTTCACTGGCAGGGGACTGCGAGAGTGCCACTCAGGACACACAGCTCTCCTGCTTGAACGGGATCTGTTGTTCAGTTGCTCAGCTGTGTCCTGCTCTGCAACCCCATGGACTGTAGCCTGTCAGGCTCCTCTGTCCATTGGGTTTCCCAGGCAAGAATGCTGGAGTGGCTTGCCATTTCCTTCTCCAGGGAATCTTCCTGACCCAGGGATTGAACCTTCACTTCCTGCATTGAAGGTGGATTCTTTACTGCCAAGCCACCAGGGAAGCCCTGCTGAATGTGGTTTTTTTTTGTTGTTGTTTGTTTAACAAATCTGTTCTCCCCACTGAGCTGTGAATTCCAAGGACCATAGAATATTTCTCTCTAGGACTGGACATAAACTTTTATTGAATGGGTGGATGGAGGAAAAGATGGATATTTTTAACAACAGCTATGCTAGGCAGCTTGGGCTTAGTAGAAGAAAATTTTTGGAAGATGAGGTAAATTAAAATTGTCTATTTTAATTGTGAGTAAGTGTGAGGATGAGGCAAAGCAGTTTATCATTAAAGGGCTAGGTAGACTGAGCTATTTAAATTTCTTAGGCTTAGTCTCATGAAATGTGAAGGCCCCATGGCTCACAAACAAGACATTGGGAAGAAGCATCAGCACCTGCCATCAAGATCTGCGGAAGCTACCGCCTGGAAGCATTAACAGGGAATTTGGAGGAGGAAGGGGACACTAAGGACTGAACTCCTAGTCGATGCATCAGTAATTGTAGCAGATGGACATGGAATCTTATGTCCTACTCTGGCCATGAGACCCCTAAGCTTTGTGTTTAGATCCACAGTGTGTATTATTCTCGATCCCCATGCTGTCTCTGGAATGAGAAACACTTTAAGATGTTAGTGAGGATAGGAATTGTGGAGATTATTCAGTTCAAACTTCCCATTTTATGAAAGTGGGAAGTGAGGCCACTTAGCTGGCAGGGGCAGGCAGGATCAGAACCAGGCCTTCTGGGTCCCCCTGCAGTGCTCTCTGCAGTTACCAGGCCATACACTTCTTAACTGGAAACTGGCTCTGACCTTGGGGAGTGTAGATGCTTAGGACGTACCCTGGTTGACTCAGTCTCCCCTCAAAGATTATGAGTTTCTGGAGGGTAGCACTATGTTCTGTTCAGTTTTATCCCCAGGGGGTAGCATGATGCCTGCCACACATTAAGCTGTCTCTGTCTGTTGAATAAATGAAGGAAGGAATAAGTGGCTGGGGTACAGGATACAGTAGAAAATCAAAGCCACAGCCAATGCAGTTGTGATGCATGAAAATGTTATCTGTCACTCCTGAAATTCAATGAACTCCTCCCAAATTTGCCTCTGAATATGATTCCTTATCCCTCACACCCTAGAACAAGTAGACAACATCAAGAAGTTTAAAGGCTGTTAAATATCCAGGCTAGGTGACATCTGCAATCGTTTTAAGGCAGGCCAGCTGTGGAGCGGGAAGAGCAGACTGTATGGCAACAGCGAAAAGAGAAACATGTGCTCAGCAAGGAGGCCTGAGCCAGCCTCCACATGCAGCTCTAGTGGTGTCCAGCACACCCTGTTCTTGCTCATCCTGGAAAGGGAGCCCCAGAATTTCTCTCCGAGTTCAACCCTTCCTTTGTCTATGTGACACAATGCTGGTGTCGTGTGTACGCACATATGTGTACCCAGTGCCCTACCTCCGAGCTCTGGAAGGAAACCCACTGTACAGCAAAGCTCCACACCGGGGATCCCTCACAAGGAGGAATCTGGCATAGCAAGAAAAAACGTAGAAATCAAAGCCCAGAGGTGCAGACTTGCCACCATGAAAGCTGAGAACAACAGACTGGGTTCTACGAGCCGTTCCATTAGACACGCCCTTTCTGCTCGCTCCCTCCCCAGCCTCGAGGCACGCCACTTCGTCTGCCCTGCGTGCTCCACTGCAGCCCCTTCAGGATGTCCCCGCCGATGGTGTGCCAGCGCCGGGGGAGGCACGAGTCCACACCACGCTTAGTCACGCCTTGTGTGACTCACAGGAAATCCACCACGAAGTGCGGAGGCGGGAAGGTGACGCCGAGGAACGCAAACAGTCCGGTTGGAGCCGTGCCCTGACCCTAACCGGGTAGAGAAGCAGGTGAAAGGATAACCAGAGCCCCTACCACAGGCCAAAGTACACACAAACACACGGGCCCATGCAGGCTCAAATCCAGGAGACGTGTGGGCGGCTGAGGCCCAGTCCTTACCAGAAAGGACCGCAGCCAATGAATCAGGTGTTAATGGACACGGAGCACCAATGTGCCCCCAACACAGCTTCCACCAACTACACTTTGCTCTGAATACCTTGCTGTTTCACATTTCTATATTTAATGTATTCCTTTAAAATTTCCACTGAAGGAAAGAGCAGAAGTAGGGAGTGACCAAGGGTCCCAACTTTTTAGGGTGACAGACACGTTCACTGTGGCGATGATTTTATAGGTGTGTACAAGTGTCAAAACCTTATCAAAGCATGCACTTTAAATCTGTACAGTGCATTATAAATTACAGTTTATTAATTACTTCTCAAGAAAGCTGTTTTCATTTTCCACTGAATTTGAATAGCTACTTTGGATCGTATTCCAGAAATGCCCATTTTATTTATTTATTTATTTTTTAGAAATGCCCATTTTAAAGGGCGGGTTTCACGCATGCACTCTGGAGTCACAGAGTCTGGTTTCCTAACATGTTTCCTTATAGACACACCAATCTAACTCAGGGTGCAGCTATAGTCCTGGATCCATAGAGGTCCTCGGGGGCTCACTCTGGGTTCCAAATGTAGCCCCTGCCTGGAATAGATCTTTACTCTGCCAGTTCCCGAATCCTCAGCCACAGAGAGGGCTCCCTGCTCCCCTCCAGACCTCTGCCTAACCCACGCCCCTGGGTTTCCATTAAGAAAGCAAATTCATCTGTCCTGAGTCCTGCTCAGGTCATTGCACTGTGCCTCAGAGGGAGAACAGCTCTGAGCGTCTACGAGATTCTGCCTGGGGATCCACTACCAAGGCTCCATGCATCTGGTCTGCACTGGACCCGCACATGGTTGTGGATGTGCAGACTGCTCAGCCAAACAGAGCACTGACTGAGCATAGCGCTTTTCCCAGCTCT